CCCCTAACATACCATTGCAGGCAAAAGATGACTGCCCTGCAGTGTATTCATTCATTCCCAGAACCTTTAGAACTGGTTCTGTGTGGTTTGTACCCCACATATTCTTTCAAGCTAAATTTTTGCCTGGATTAGTAACTAACAGGAGATGATCACGTGAAATACTGGAAATTCAGGTCTTAGTTACTGTTAGTTCTTCATAAACCTCTATAGAGGATTTGAAAGACTGCATAAAGTGTTGATGTCTATTGCCACAGTTGTTCTTTCTGAGTTTTGTAATGTGTAACAATACCTCTGTGTTTGAGAAATACATCTTTGATTAATGTGTAAGTCCATCTAAACCTCTTGCCCGTATGTTCTATTACCTGAACTTCAATATACCAAGTCAGCAGTGTGTTTGGCTTGACTTCATTCATAAGATTCAAAGTATCTGTCAATTTATCACCAAGAAGGAATCTCTGCTTTTAGAGTGGCTTTGTAAGCACAAAAGGAAGGTGCATAAGGGACAGTGATACTGCAGTAGCTTCTACTCTCATCTGAACAATCGGTTCCATATACAATTTTGCAAGTCACAGCTTCCTACGTGTTTTAAATTGATGCTACAAACTCTATTCCTTTTAGATTTCCAGAACTGCAGATACTGTTGGGGGGTTTTGGAGTTGCTTGGTTTGGGTTTTTTTTGGTTCTAATTTGGTCTAATTCTGGCTTCACAGACTTTCATGGAATACCCACTTTGAGAGATCATTAAACCAGAACAATTTCTCTCACTGCATGACCTTTACATAATCTAAGCATTGGTTTTGTCCACCGTTTGAAACCTGTGCTTATGAAACTGATCATCTACCCCATGCTTTAAACATGCACAGTTATCTTGCTGATTTGAAAGGTGTCTTTATGTAGCCTCATTTCTTTAATGAATGACAGTGGTTTTATAGAGAGAGAATTTTTCAGTGAGTGCAACATCATAGTTATTGTTGTATTAAACACAGCAAGAGTAAGTACTTAATCTGTTCTTTATACATCTTAGTGCATGTGTTATCACTGGTAATGTCGTGTGTTCAATACAGCCCTGACTGGTCAGACTGGAGAAGAATGCAAGTTTTCTCTTGTATTGTAAAGAAAGATTGAGCTCTGCTCAGATCTAATATCAAATAAAGTTTCTAGTTATGTCTTGTGATATGGCATTTCCTTCCTCTGTTTGGTTTTGAGCATGTATTTATTTTTCTGCCTCTTCAAACTACGATAGTTGAGTAGGCAAAATAAATGCTCAGCTGAAATGGTACTGCTGAGCCTTAAAATGGTTCAGGTTCAGACCCTCACCACCTTAGCATGTGTCTTCTCTGGATTTACTGCAGTTTAATTCAGTCATTAATACACTCTTGGCAGTTTCCCATAGCAAGTGCTGTGCAAGCTCTTCATGTTTAAACATAACCTCTTAGATTCCTCACGAGTCATCTCCATAATGCACACACATCTTCATAAACAAACTGTATCTCTGTATTGCATCATGCCTAGCACAACACCAGACCTACACTGGAAAAATAAGTGGTATGCAACATTCCTGCAAGGCAGCCATCTAAGCCTTTATTTACCCCACTTTCCTCAACCTGAACGTTGCTGTTCTTTTCCTTGTGATGGTCACAAATACAAAGTTATTCCCGGACCCGAGATGCTGATCAGTAACTTGGCTTAACCATGGCATGAATAAAAATGATGTTTGAATTCAATTGGTGGTTTATGTTGGTTCCTTCCTTCTGCTTGGTTTTGGTACTTGAGTGCTAAGGTTTGGTTAGGTGTCCCTGTCCTGTGGAGATTATATCAAGTAGTCTGGTTTGGAAAATACAGACTAAGTAGACTTAGTACAAAAGCAAAATTAGAAAACAAAGCAGTTCCTTAATGTTTAAAATTGATCCCTCCAATAAAACAAAGTATTGATCAAGTAAAATTGGGCAATATGCTAAAGACACAGCTGTGTGTTCCAAGTTGGTCAGTTGTAGTAGGCTCACTAAACAAGAATAAAAGGTAGTAAGCTCATGAAAAGCCATTAGCTAGTGTTTACTAATGAATACTGTAGACAGGATTCAGTCACCCCTCCTTTTTGTAGCAAATATTCCAGTGAACAGAAGTAACTCTTAAATGTGACCTTTCTTGATCTCTAAAAGCTGATGGCAGTTTAGTTGAAGTATTCAACTTACTACATAAAAAACCCAAAAGTTCAGCTTACTTGTTTATGTAACTTACCTGTGCTGTGTTCATTTCTTTGCACAAATAGGTGCAACATAGGGCAGAGGCGTAAGGACCAGCAGAACCAGTTTTTATGTGCTTCAGACTAAAACTTCCAGTGCCTTATACTCTGAGAGCATCTTGAATCTCTGCAAACTAAGTTCACCCAACACACCACCATATAAAGTTGAACATCTTCCTAGTTTCATATGAATAACAACTCACCTAATGTTCTAAGTGTTGTTCGTCACCCCCCCCCCCCCCCCTTTTTCTGCATTGAATATTCTGCAGTGAAGATACGGCCCCCAGCCAAAGAGAAAAGGTTAAAATAGAACCTGTCTGTTGCAACAGCTATACATTCTTTAGTTCATGGTTCTTAAAATATATTTAAATGACCTTTGGTATCGTGAGAGTAGAAATGTCATGCTGGACTTCGTTTCTCCCTCCCTAAAAAGTGATTTTAATTCATCTCTTACCAAAAGTTAAACACTGTAAACAAAATGCTCAACTCAGCAGTAACAGAACGTGGTCAGTAGTAGCTATTGTCATTAAAGTGTTTGACACACGGGGTTCTTGAGAGTTGCAAAGACAGTCTTGTTTTGTAGCTGAGGAGTTTCATATACCGCATTTTCATTAAAGTGAAAGTACTTGAATTAAGCTCTGCGTGTTGGTAGAGATACAGGAGATGTTTTTCTAAGAATTAGGTGTTGGCTGTATTAATGTTTACAGCAGCTTTGCTCACGTCACTTTCTGGCTCTTTCACCAACACTGTAAGCATTCGTTTCAAATGCTTTCTAATTAGGCTGGTATGGGCAAAATGTCGTCTGTCAGAGTTGGACTTCATTTGTGCAACTCTTCAATCTGAATTGTATGTACGTGTTTAAAAAAAGAACAACAAAACCACACTTCTGTTTGTTTGTTTGTTTCTATAAAAAACAAGTTCATTTCCTTTACATTCTTGATAGCATTAGAATTGCTTTCCTCACTGAATCACATCCTAAAAGTACCAGAATATCACCAGCTCCACCACATCCCAGTCTCACCTAGGAGGTTCACCAGACTCCTTTATAGCACTACCATTGTCACCGTTGGTATGTATATAAAACCTCAAAGACAGGTACTCTGGAAATTGAATGTATAAAGTGGTGTCTCTACCTGAACTCCATGATTCACCTAGCAAGCGTGTTTCACTTCACTGTTCAGAAGATCTCTTAAAAATTGGAAATCCAGCACTGATGTAAGCTACAGCTTTTTGTAATGCAAATAATTCATATTTATCCAAGATAATGTATTATACATACCTTTCTCAAACATTATTACGGAGCTGTTATTAGCCAAAAGCGTGCTAACTATATTAAAATGCTATAAAAGGCAACATTCTCTGTATGTTACCTGTTACAACAGTAGACACATGCTGTAGCAAGTAGATTAATAGGAGCTATGAATCCTGGCAACTACCAATGCCAAGTATGTTCATTTACTGTATATAGTCTTTGCAGGGATTATGTCATATTTTGAACATACTTTTCAAACTGTGTTGCTGCTTCAGGATACAGCAGTCCTATACAGGGACATTTGGAGGGGATCTTGTTCAATTCTAAGAGGGCAAGTGTTGATGAAACTTGCATGTTTTCTATCAGCAGAAGTAGTTGTTTCATTGGGTCAAAAGAGGGCTTCTGATAGAGAACATACTGGCCTACGGCTGGAATGTGGACACAAAACACGATCCCCTGAACCATTTAGAAGAAGTCTACTGATTTCTTTCTTCTAGGTGTAGAAAACCAGCACAGAAATTTGTATCACCGATGAATTGCTGGTGTCCTGGGGTTGGTGTTGGCAGGGGTGGGGTGTAGCTCTAGGGCTTTTGTATGTGGTGCACATCTAACCTGCCCTCGCTTCAGTTCTTATGATTGCACAGGTCGAATTCATGGCCACGTATGAACTGGCCTGAAACTGTGTCATAAACCTAAGGTTGAACATGGCTGACAGAGTAGTACAGGGACGCTCACCCTGTTGCTGTAGTAAGAGTTAACTTCACGTGACACTTCCAAGGGTTTACACAACTTCAAAGTGTAAATATGAGTAGACAATAAATACTTCCTTCATACTCTAACAGCAAAGAAGAGATTCCTTTTAAATGCATCTTCTGTGGCACCTTGTTACCATCTTTGATAAGGCAACGTGCCTCGTGACAGACTTTGAAAGCACGGTGTGGCACCCTGCCTCTCAAAAATGCTGACAAACAAGCCTCCTTGATTTCCTGTTTCTGTATCACAGAGATAATTACATAATTACAAAGATTAATTAAGTAATTAATTTGCTGCTTCTACACAACTAAATGTGTGCTCCCTCCTACACGTTCATGAGAGCGTGTCAACGAGCCGCAAGAAATCTGTGGCGCTCTGCAACGGGAAATCCTAAACCCCTTGGGAAGCTCTTGTAGAAGGGTTAAAAAGGAACGAAGTAGTAAACTTCTGCTTTGAAAAACAAGCACCTTCCTCTGTTAGAGCAGCCCCAACTTGCCTGCTGCATCCATGAAAGCTGTTCATTCAGCGCAGGTCAGAGGTGCTGTTGTTGGCACACCAGCCAGTGGGCTGGAAGCCCGGCGGGCTGTACTGCTGAGCATAACAAAGTGCTGTGCGTCACAGGACCCTGGGGTTTTGCACGGGGATTAGTCAGGCTCTATTTGGAAACGCCCTCGACTGCACCCTGTGCTGCTATATCAGTGCTGCTCAAGCAAGAGGAATTTTCTTTTGCTTCTGGCAGCTGCTCCTGCAAAACCCTCTGGTAAGTGTGCACAGCTTCTGGCGGCAGTACTGTCTTCCGCCTGCGCTTTTAAGCCAAGGGTATGAGCTGCAGCGTTATTTACAGTTGTTGATTGTGACAAGCTCTATTGTTTCAGGTAAAAATTTAGATAAAAAAATGAGATACCAAAGGATTGGCAACAGCACTGAAGGAGTAAATCTATTTACCAGCTTGTATTGAGTAGATGAATTCAACTCTGCTTTTAAATACGTGTTAGAGCAGCCTCGTAAGGGCGGGTATTTTCGGAGTGACGTGGCTATGTACCATGCATGTCTGCGTTTATTTCTATACAACAGGAATAGCAAAGATCACATAGTACAGCAGGCCAATTCTTAAAAGGATTTGGTTGGTTTTTGTTGGCAGCCTGCATGCAAGCCCTGCATCTCTGGACTCTGCTTGCCACCTATGCTGTTGCGGTAGGACAAAATCAAGGACAGAAGAATCAGGAGTGCCCTAAGCTCAACGCACAGGTATTCTCCTTTAAAAGCACAAGAGGAAATGCTGTTGTCATGTTTTCTGTGAAAGCTCTCTCTCCAGATTTTTCTATATGTTTTAGTTTGGGGGGGGAAAAAACAAACCAAACCAGTATCCAAATCCAGCACATTAAGTGTAAGAAGATGCAAATAATACAACAAAACAGGAAAAAACATTTTTAGTATGCATCCTATTCCATTTCTCAAAATAGCTTAGGTACTGAAGCCACTTCAGCTACTTCACAGAACCTGGGTATCCAGTTTTGCAGCGTGTTATCAAGCAACTGTGAAGATACTCAGTGTTCTGTTTTTTTCATTTCCATAATAACATTTGCCTATTTACTTTTCAGATAGTCCTATGCCAAGAAATAGCCCTAAGGCTGTTTCTTGGCAAAACTACCAGAAGAGTGATTTAGTGTAATACTAGTTACTAAGGATTTCTTACTACTGTATTTGAGTTTACATCATATAAATACATGAATTACAAATCAGTACCTCTGTCTGTCCTGAGCTCAGGTTGTGCTAGCAGATGGCATGATCACTAACGGAGGTCTCCCAACTAGCAGCACCTAATAGTGTGTCTGATGCAACCGTGCTCACATCCGGTAGCTTTTAATGTTCCTGTCTAAAAGAGAAGCCTACTCACAGCTGGGGGTGCAAAGAGAAACCTTTATTGCACTCATAGACCAGAGTTCAAATGGTCTGAATTCAAAGCCAGTCCTTATACACATATGAGCATGTAGAGATGGAGGAGAAGAGAAACACACACTCCCAGTTCTGTGGCTTTGTTACAGCTCCCCTGCTTCTTGCAAGTCATGCACTGCAAATAGCAGAAGTTACATGAGGAAGCTTGCATGCTTTTCAAAAGCTTTTTGGTAAGCTTTCTTTAAAGTAGATGAAAGTCATGTTCTGTAGTAATAGCAGGAAGAAAAAGGGAGAGGAAAGTAAGATGTAAATTAAGGAATGTGCCCCTTTTCTTACAATTTCACCAAACTCCTACTTTCTGAAACCCATTTTCTGTAGCTTGCCAAGGTGTCAAATTTCAGAGCTAGCCCTGATGCCATGCCCTGCCCTTTTGGTACACGTCCATAAGTAGGTATATGTGATAGCTAGTCTCAGACCTCAGAATTAGGCATCTGCAGTTCCCAAAATAAATGCTATTTATTCTTGGTTTGTACTCTTTTACTTGGAAGCTGTCACCACAGACTAGAAATAGAATTTACAAATAATTGAATCCTATCCATTTAATCACTTTGATTTGCAATTTCCTTCTTTAGAAATAACATAAATAGTTCCCTCTCCTTACCAGCCCACCCTTGTGTGTCCTCTGTGTCAAAAGATAATAGGTTTGGAACACAGTCTAGTCTATGGCAGGTTTACCAGCAAAGTAGGAACAAACTAACTGTGTGATAATCGAGATTTACATACTGCCAGGAGTATTATGGCTAGTTCTTATCCATGGTCTTAGCACTCATGTAGCAGTACAGGCATCTGAAATTCTGTAGAATATGTTTGTAAGTGCAAGAACAGTTGCTATTATTGACAGTTACTGACATCTAACAAAGTACTCTGTCAATCCCTGAGAACGAGAGAGAAGTTCCCTTACACTGTATTCAGCCACAGTGGGGGGTGTTTTCTTAGCAGTGATTTTTGGGATCCATACTGGTCTTCCAACTTTGTCAAGTGGTGTAGGCTTACAGGTATCGGTCTAAAAATACTTTGCCCCACTTTTGTCATGTCCTTGGTCAAAGCATTACTTAGACCTTTGATGATAACATCTTACATTTTTAGTTATTACTAGTACTATTTCAGGCTGTGTATCAAGATTTGATTAAGAAATGAGCCATATCTCCCTGTAATTAAGATAGCAAGTCATTCATCAGCTCATCCTTCCCAACTTAAAACTACGGGTAGTGAAAACAACAGAAGGTCCCACGTAAATTTCATTTATAGGAAATTCCCTATTTTATTGGACTTGTTTGTTTGTTTGTTTTAAATCATAGGGACTTACATTGTTGTTTTACTGGGTAGGGGAAGGAAGTAACTGCTCTCCCTCCAGCACTCGGTAGATTGAAAAATTCAGTGTAATCTTAACTCCAGAATATGACACTACACCTTGTGCACACAATCAGTTACTAATTCCCTAGGACAGCCAATTGGAAGTGCTTGCTATGGCAGCTGTGAATCCACTTGGACACCTGCCTTTCATTTTAGTGACCATCACCAACTCTTGTCTTATAATTGAACTGATGGAGCGTGCACTTAGACATAATCTGTCTCAAATACTAAACAAACAGCACCCAGATAGAACACAAAAGCAGCTTTGTTTGCACTCACAGAATGGTTGAGGTTGGAAGGGATCTTGAAGATCACCTATTTCCATTCCTTCTATCCAATTGTATATAGGAAACTTTATTTCAAAACTAGAATTCAACAGGGTCTTTACAGTACATACTTTTCCTCTTTATTTTACCTAGATGCATGTCTCAGGTACTAAACAGACTTGTGATTTCCAGAACTATCCTTGTTGTAAATGACCCCTTCTGTGGTTTGTAGGACTGGGGATTTCCAAACCTGCGTGAATCCATTACGGTTCATTCATCAAGGTATGACTATAACATCATTAGCTACAAAAGAACTTCCTACATCCTTATTCCAGTTACCTGCTGTCACAAACAAGCAGATCTTTGGTTTTCCTTTTCATAAATCCAATTCAGCTTAACCTTTAAAATAGTCTTGTTCAGTTTTGTTCTCCTTGTTTCTCTTTGAAGGCTCCTTAAAAATGTCAGAGACTAGAAACTTACGTGTGTTTGTGGCCAGCATATAAACCAACTACACATTACCTTTGGGAGTTGTCATCTTTTAATGTGTGTTTTAAAAGAGATACTGGCCTCTCAGCTGTTTCAGTAACATATAGATATCCTTGGTAAGAAAGCAAACCTCTTCTCACACTTATAAAATGACAGAATAAATAGGGGGACTTAAATGATTCAATAGGATGTACTTTCAAAACAACAAAATGTGAAATTCCTTTTCCCAGGCTTATATAGTTTTAGTTCTCAGTGTTGAAGCTTTTTGCTTTGAAAAGCTTTCTTGCCTTTGTTAGGTGCTGTGGGGATTTTTGTTTGGGTGTTTCTCCATATGTCTTCTTCCCCAGCATCAGAATTTGGGGCCTTTTGTGTGTATCGAGTTGACTCTTAGAGCTTTCTTAAACAATTAATAGAAACACAGATTTTAGCAAATTGACTGACCTTTTCTTAGTTACATTCTTTCACTCTGTTCTGTCATCTGTTTTATCAGTTCTTTCCAACTTGAGTTTGCTTGTCTCTTTCGGCTCTGACACACGGCAGATAGATAGGCAAGAAAAAGACAAGAGCTAGTCCGGGAGCCAGACATTGAAGGAGCCGCTTTGCCAGAAAACTGGTGACTGCTTATTTGACAGTTACATTTACTTCTAATGATAAAGCCTAAATAGAAGAACTGCTAGTTAATGTGCAGTTGCAAATAGGAATACAAAGAACTAGTGATGGGGACAGGGGCTGTTTTGACCACCCGTCTTTGTCTGAGGCTTTATTGGATGCTGTATCTATAATGAAGATGTGGTTTTGCCTGTGAAAGCGCCTGTGAGACTGAAATTGCCTGGGTTATACTTGCTGCAGGAGACTCTTTTTTCACCCCTAAAATAAAATCCTCTTCAACTGACTTCAATTCTTATGTAAAAATGAAAGATGTCTTAGAAATCAGTGACTTGAAGAAGTTGATCTTGAGTAGGAGTATGAGTTGACAACATCAGAGCAGGAAGCTTTCATCAGGCTTACAATCTTAAGCAATGTCTTCTTTAACACCATCTACTGAAGCATTTACTGAGGAGGTTTTTCCTTAGGTTGTTCCAGAAACTTAGGAAAGGCCTGTCTGAAATAAAGCAGTAGCAAGCAATCCAGCTTCCCTCATACAGCCTCTCCCCCTGGTCTCTCCATCTCCCCCAACATCTGTTCTGTTTAAATCAGTTACATTAGGAAGTCTGTTGCTTAGTATCTTAAGTAACCCAAATAATGCTTGAACTACTTCTTAGAAAAACATGCATTTAGATTCCACTTTGTTTAATTTTTGCATGCCAAGTCTAAAAATACATGTATCATTTGTCTCCTGAAAGTCAAAGGAATTAGATGAGTCAGTTTACAGTGAAAACATGACAAAACAGTCAAATTGCTTCATCTTCCATTCTAGAGCAAAAATGGGGCATACCCACCAAACCAGTGGTAAGGTTACTTCTGCTTACCAGCACTGACATCCAAAAGAAAGATCCATAAAACATCTGTAAAGAGTTGCAGATTGTCAATATTTCACTTTGTGAAGCTGGATGTGTTGATAATGGTGAATAAATACCTAAAAATGCTTCGAAAATGTATTTCTCAAAAAGATTAGGGAATTCTTTCATGGATATTTTCCGGGAATTTTCTTTTTTGTTAATAACTTCCTCAATGATTCCCAGCCTGGATGTAGACTTGTTTCTTTATGAGACTTTTAAAGCAAAGAAGTAGTAAATACCCTGTCATGACTTAAGACTTTTTGGCAAGGTGTTCTGGTATAGGTATTTTGGACGGGTAGAAAACCTTGGAAATTATCAGAGACTCAAGATTAAGTTTTTGGAAGGATTCCTATTTCCTGTTTTCATTACTCTCTGCAAGGGTATCAGCCAGAAAGTAGCAACAAGCATGCTGGGGATTGGAATTATTTGTTATAGGGGAAAACTGGAGCGCTGATGTGGATGAAGAGATACAATCCAGCAAGACTGCATGTAAAACTGAGCACTTTGTGCAACAACATGTTTCTGCCTAGGAGTGATTTTGAAGCATATGTGGTTGTTACCAACTGAGTTTCAATAATTATCACTATATTACTGCTAACAAAGTGAATGCAGACACATCATCTGAAGACATGGTCTCAAGCGGCCCTTCACATTAGGTCTTCTCAGAGCACAGCAGAAAGGTTGTGCCCATAGTCATGGATGCTGTGTTTCAAGAATGATAGGGTTCAAATGGACAGGCTGGGACAACATCAAGAGTTGTCAGAGGTTTAGAAAACTCTGCTCTGCAAAAGAGGATTGAAGAAACTGGGGTACTTCAGTGCACAAAGAAGGGGGAAAATATCCAGCAAGCACCTCTTCAAGAAAAAGAATACGTTCCTCCAGGTTGAATAACCTAAAATTACAGTAAGGAAGGGTAAATAGAGATTAAGCAAACTTTTCTGAGCATATAGTTGAGCAGTAGAATAGATGGTTGAGGGAAGGAGGAACACGTGAGTAAAGGTATTGAAGAATGGGTTAGACAAGTATCTGCTGAGAATTACGTAGCTGTAAGTTTGCTCCTAGCTGAGGGCAGAGCGGACTAGAGCCGATATTTAAAGGTCCCTCCAGCTCCTTCTTTTCCCTGACACACAACTATCTTTTCCATTATAAAAACAAGTGTTTGCAAGACTTTAAAATGTCATCTTTTTCTTCAGTCATAACTTAACTGCAGTTTGACTGCAAGTCGGTTGTTAAAGGCTTAGTAGTATCGAGAGCAGGACAAAAGAGTGTTGTGTGACTTAATAACAATTGGTGATATGGGAGCTCTGGATCCAGAAGCGTGTCTGGAAACAGAAGCTGCCTCTTCCTTTTCTCAATCATCTCACTGCAGCAAAGATTATGTGCTAAGTAAAAGAAAAGCTGAACAATCAGGATGTGAGAAATGAAATTCCTTCAGCATCTCTGAAGTTAGAGATACAGAGAATAAAACGTACTGATCCGAAACGCCCCTGCAGAGAGATTGCAAATGGCTGATGCCTCTGTGGTAGGAAGAGTCCGTGCATGATTATAAAGGAAGGAAATACATACTAAATTGGGAAACTTCTGTCAGTAAGTAGTTCTTTTACCATTTCTGCAAGGTTGAAGATAAACTTCTAGAGTGAGTAAAGGCTTGGGGGAGGGGGGCTCCTGTTTGGGGAGGAATGGGGGATTTGTAGGTTTTTTCCTTTATTTCCAAATTCAGCATTTCTCATAATATTTGAGAAACACTCTTCATTCAAAGGGATTATGGAAAATGACTGATGGACCAGCTCAGGAACAGGGATTACTATTTGGCCTTGCTATACTGGTGCACTCGGCTGACACATGCAGCATTCCCAACAAAACAACCAGTGTCTAAAGTCAGCCTGTGCTCTTTATCTACGTTGAAACTTCAAGGGCATATTAACTGCACAGAGACCTAGTTTTAAAGTTCACCATCTCCAAGTGACATCCTTGAGCCACAGGGTGATCTCACACATCTTGTTTCTATATATCCCTTATTTCCTACAAATACAATCACATTTTCTGCGAGTGTCAGCTTACTGAGTAATTTGATGTTAGGAAAGGAAATGAAAACAGATGTTGAAAGCAAACAGAACTGTCTGCAATCAGCAGTTTATATATCTAGAGCATTTTCTGTCTCTTCTTGCTCCTAACTTGCCTTCCTGTCCTGAGCATGTCACATGAAACTGTTAATAGATGCAGAGCTTCCAATCTGGTGGATAGCAGGTATTACCTAGTAAGTTTTCCTCTGTAAAGCTGATTTCTGTCTTTGTTCTTACTCTTCATAGATGCCAGAGTTTCAGAAGAAGACTGTCCATATTAAGGACCCAGGGAGAGTAGAGGAGATTATCTGTGGCCTCATCAAAGGTGGAGCTGCCAAACTTCAGGTAAAGAGAGTAGATGGTGTAACCAGTTCAGTATGAAAGCAATCCTGCAAGTGGTGCTCTGTGCTAAGAAGTTTTAAGAACATTTCTATGTATCTAAAAACCAGAAGTCAGCCTTCAAGAGATCTCCAAAATTTACTCATGTTAACTCTTCTTTGTTGTTCTTGTTGATTCAAGTGTAATTCAGCCAGACACTAGTTAAGTAAATGGATAAACACCTAACCTCAGGAAATATTTTAACCCAAGGAATTAGAAAACCAGATGTGTTAGAAAAAAGAAGCTGTTCTCATGGGCTATACTAGTTTGCATTACAGTAGTTCAACAGAGCAGGGGGATTTCTGTGACTCATAATGCTACTGAGCTGCAGCTGTTGTTGATCGTGCAGAATTTCTAGCCGTTCTTTATTTTGTCCCTCCATGTTGTAAGACAGTTTTGCTTTTTCTTTCCTTAAATAGATTATTACAGATTTTGATATGACATTAAGTAGATTTTCCTACAATGGAAAAAGATGTCCAACTTGTCATAGTGAGTACTTTTTTTTTTTGTTTAATAGAGATTGGTTTGTTCCCTCCTTTTAGTTTTTCCTACATTTTAATTTTCTATCCAATTTATTCCCTAATATGTGAGATTTTATATTGCCTTGTTACCTAACCTGTACATCCTAATGCAGAAGTATTCTAGTGACTGCCTATATGTGGTTTTACGTATATATATTTTAATAACAATCTATGTGAATTAAAATCAGTTAAGTTCACAGCTAAAACATTCATTTCTGAACTAGAATATGGTAGTTAGATAATGGTAGGGTCGATTTATATTTAAGAGCTCATAAGATTCCTGAGGCCTGCAAGATGCAGATAGTAAACTCTTCTCAACATTCTTATCCCGTAGCCTTTTAGAACAAAGAATCCATTTACTATAGAAGTGGGAATCCTAAAACACATAGGATGGCTCATGATGATTTCAGAAGCAGTTAAATCTCAAGAAATAGATAAAGAGAGCTTGTAATTGACCTTTTAATTCAGAGATGAGGGCAAGGACGTATTCCTGCTTATGAAGAGAAATGTGCCTTTTACTGGTTGCGGGTAAGGAAAGGTCTGAGGAAACATAGTGGTAGGTCATCAAACAGTGTCATCTGTGCCATTTACACTGTTGTAGAGCAAAGCAAAAGACATACACCATCTTGTAACACGTCTTTTTTTCACCCCCCCCCCAGACATCATTGATAACTCCAAGCTCATCACAGAGGAATGTCGGAAAAAGGTAAGCAGAAAACCTACTGGCTGTTGGTTTGTTGGACAGACAACTGGTATCATTCACTGGCTGCACTCTGTGTGGAATTACACAGCACCACAAGAAGAGGGATCCAATCTTTAAACCTCTGGGCTTCCTCACTCAAGAATCTGAGTGAGATGGAAAGAAATCCCACCACTAATAGAGGTGAACAGAAATATTTGTATTCTTGATAGTAGCACGTGGTTGATTTTAACAGCATCCACTTCTTAAGTCTTGTACTTACAAGCTAGCTCTTAGTTCAGAAAGCGTTTCAGAGTCCATTGTACCTCAATAATGTAGTCAGAATGATCAGATCAAGTACCAAGAGTTGTTTAATGTGTTTTTATGAAATATCTGATGGGTTTTTTCCCTTCAGTTGTTGCAGCTGAAAGAAACCTATTACGCTATTGAAATTGATCCAGCTCTCACTACTGAAGAAAAATATCCCTATATGGTAGAATGGTAAGAGACACCTCCCGTCTTGAAACTGAACTAAGATTCATTATAGTAAGTTTTTAAAAGCAAATTAATAGCAGTAATTAACTTTAGGTAATGCACGAACCAAGTTAATGTCTTTGAGTGTTGTGCAACAGCTGGTTTTGCTTTGCTGCTGACTTGAATGAGGAAGAATTAACCATACAGGATGCTTTTCATCATGGGATTTGATGATAGGTGAAGCTTCTTAAGTCAGTTCCAACCCATTTCTTGTTTCTGTTCTAGGTACAACAAGTCTCATGCGCTACTCATTGAACAAGGCTTACAAAAGGATAAGTTTGCAGAAGTTGTGAGGGAATCTGATGTTATGCTGAAGTAAGTTCCTTTTCATTGAAGGATGCTGGTTTGGAATATTTTCTATAGATTCTGACCGGGTGTTGAGCGGGGGGGAAGAGGGGGAAGCAGACACCAAACAACATTCCTGAGAACATGACACCTTACTCTTGGAACACAGAGAGCTCTTCATGCTCCCAGTTCATTGGTGTGTTGTAGCTCAATGCCTGCAGTGATCACACCATGTAAACGACAGATCTGACGCTGGCATTCGTGAGGTTTTTAGTCCCATCTCTACAAGCTTCATTTCTGTAGACTTTCATCCTCTTCAAATTGCACTGGTGACACTTGTTGTAAGGGGAATGCAGCGATGAACTTTGTTGCTTTGAGAAATATCCCCTGTGATAGTTTCATCTGAGATAAAAATGCAGCGAAATACGTTTCATATGTTGTATTAAGTATTGTTCTTCCTCTCCAGCTAAAGGCAAGTTCAAAAGCCAGCAAAATCCCTGCTTGAAATGTGATGGGGCTCCCATCTCTCTCAACGTTCTCCAAACTTGTTGGTAGATTTTGGATGACTGAAACAGGATGTTAGAACTTGTGGAAGTGACTGTTTGTCATATTGACTAAATTCTTACCTGCCACAAAGCAGACAAGCCCACAGTCCCTCTTAGATGTGAAATTCTACTTATCGGTGTCTGAGTGGAAAAAGTGTATGGAGATAACATTCCCTTGTTCCTGGAATGCTATATACAGCTTTGATTGGGTACTGAAAAGTAAAAACCTTTCAGGAGAGAGCCACAATAAACGTTTTCAAGATTTAAAACCAAAACAAGATGTGCTTCATGGCAATAACGCTATAGAAAGTCAAAGCTTCAGCAAGGGAGACTGAAAGGAGAGGTACAGACTCATAGGAACTAGGGGGAGTTCTAAGAGTTGTTTGCTTGTTGTGGGGTGTTTGGGGGGGGGCAGAGTGTGTTTAGCTCCTTAATAGATGTTTTGGGGGAAAATAATTACACAGACCAAGACCAGAGAGCTTGATGCAGCAGCTTCTTGCTAAAACTACATGCCTTGTGTTAGGTTGATGGTTCTTGCTAACCTGGAAAGGTGAGGTAAAAGAAATGGAGTGAAATGCTCAGGAAAGACTCATTTCTCTTTCCCAAAGACGATGTGAATGTCTTCTGAAAGCTTGGCCTTCTCTTGGCTTTCTTTATGGGAGATCTGATTTGTATTTACATTCTGTGTTGCAGAGAAGGATACGAGAACTTCTTTGATAAGCTCAGTGAACACAATATTCCCGTGTTCATATTTTCGGCTGGGATTGGGGACATTCTTGAGGAAGTTATCCACCAGGCTGGGGTCTACCATCCTAATGTCAAAGTGGTTTCCAATTTCATGGATTTTGATGAAAACGTATGTATGAAATAACACATTCTTACCAAACATGACTGTTTGTGGTATTTAGTAGCTATATATGTGTGTGTGTGTGTATACATATATAGATACACACACACTACAAGATGACTATTTTAATGCAACAGATGTAGCCACAGAAAATCAGAATTGCTTATTCAGCACTCTCCCAGGCAATAAAGCAGCAGAGGGTAACAGTTCTAACACTGTCAGCGTGGTGTGACTAAGACACCATTCAACTCCTTGAATGACAGCCTCACACTCAGCCCAGTACAGCACCACTCTTCCTCCAAGCAGGAAGAATTGCTGTTTGTCAAGTCTTGACAATTCTGTTGCAGTCATTACATTATTTAACAGCAATTTATCTTGTTCCTCATTAGAGATAACATAGTTCACTGCTAGTTCAACAGGAATATCATATATTTCATTCTACATTCTATCTTGTCTGCACGACTCTAGAAATAACCTTAGTGTTTTGTTGGGTTTTTTTTCGAATAGGGAATATTAAAAGGATTCAAAGGAGAATTGATTCACGTTTACAACAAACATGATGGTGCCTTGAAGAATACAGAGTACTTCAAACAACTAAAAGACAACAGTAACATCATACTGCTGGGTGATTCTCAAGGAGACTTGAGCATGGCAGATGGAGTAGCAAACGTTGAACACATCCTTAAGATTGGCTATCTCAACGATAAAGTAAGTAGCCTGACCTAGCCTTGTAAAGGTCGAGGGAGACATGATGAGTTAGAAACAGGTCCATCATATTAAGCTTCAGGTATCAAACCATGTGCCTGGCCCATATTTGGTTTGAGATTTCAAACCTTTTCCACTGATTTCTTGCTTCAAGTTCTTTTGTAATCTGTAAGCTACAAAAGCACAAATTGCTTTGGGTTTTGTACTGAACTACTTCTGAAAAGGTATTTGTTGAGAAGTATAAATCAGAAGCTACAGAAATTACTTGGTTTACATTCCTGTGGCTCCTCCCCCTCCTTTCAGTACTGCATTGATAACTGAGCTAAATTACAACCTTCCAAACCAGTTTAGGCAATGTAAGGCACTTCCACATGTATACAGGAGACAGAAGACTTCAGCTTTCTATTTCTCTCTTTCAGGCAGCTGAGGAAGTAGTTTTTTCTACTACAGGTATCTATGTATGAGATCCTGGAACAAATGTGAGGCCCTGTACCCTGGAATGCACACACAGTTGTGTCACACCACTCCTCCTCTGTCAGCCCATGGAATTCACTCGTAGGAACCATACATATTTGCATGGCTCCTTCCCTGAATCAGGTGGAAAGGCTGGGCAATACTCTAAAGACAAAACCTCTCTAGATAATTAAACATACAACTAAGTGGGTCTTTTCTCTCTCTCTTCTGCAATTAGGTAGATGAGCTTTTGGAAAAATATATGGACTCTTACGATATCGTCTTGGTGAAGGATGAATCCCTGGAAGTTGCCAACTCCATCCTACAGAAAATCCTGTAAACTGCAGTCTCAAGTCACTCCATTCCTTCCAGGAGGCAACTGGACAGAAGAGCAGCACGTGGCTGCTGTCTTAGATCACTCATCTACAGAACTGTTTAATTTAATTTAAAACTTTTATCTTCATTTTGGCATTTTGAAATACACGTGGTATCCCCCGTCAACTAGAAGCTCCTTTTACTGCTCTTACGCTGTTCTTTGTCTCACACTCCTGCTACAACTAGATTTATATTGGGATTTATAGATGTGATAAAGTGCTGCTGGTGGGATACTATGGTTCAATGTCTTTTAATCAGGCATTTCAGAGGAGCATTTCAGAAACTGTGGCTGTTTTGTACCATTGAAGATGTGAATGTTCTGTGACTGAGCAGCGTGCACGTTGGTGTTGCCTTTTCTTCTTTCCAAGAAGAGACTTCAGTCTCAGCTGCATTTTGAAAGATCTTACTCATATGCTACAGACTTTGACACGAGTCTTTCCTACATTTATTTTTCATCAGTAAAAATGCTTTATTCACCCAATTCAGGCAAAGTGTTTCTTCTTAACAGATCTTTGTGTCAGTACGAATTACTCTACATCCTCACTGTTTCTTTATCCTCTGGGGAATGGGCAGAATGTTTGAAGTTAGTGTATCTGAGAGACAGTCTCTCCATCTTTGTAACAACAGAGAGTTTCACGTGCTGGGAGTACAGTCATAACAAAAGACCTTTTCAGATCTTTTGTGTACTACCCCACTTGTAGCCTGCTGCTCCATGTCAAAGCTAGCATGGCTCCTCTAAAGGAATTTCCCTTGGAATTCCCCATGAGCTGCCCCAGGCACAGAAGATCAAAACAAAGCTACATCCTAATCTTGGATTTTAGGAGCCGACTTAGCCACGTGCAAAACTGAGTTTTCTTGCTAGCAGCCCCATGCCCCAGAAGTACTTAAGGAACACCTCTGCAGACTGCCTTTGGGTAATATTCCTACTCTCTGGAAATCCTAAGCACAAGCATCAGTTCAGCATCTAGCTCTTCTGGTTTTGTTATGCAAGTCCTCTCTGTTTAAACACCTACTGAATCTTCATAGAATCACCAAACAGGCCAGGTTGAAAAGGACCTTAAAGATCATTTAGTCCAACCCCCCCGACATTGAGCAGGGACATCTTCAACTAAATCAGGTAGCCCAGAATCACATCCAGCCTGGCCTTGGGTGTCTCCAGGGATGGGGTATCCACCATCCTCATTGTAAAAGAATTCCTTTAGGAAGTGTTTCCCCTGGACTGTACTTCTCAGCATCATACACAGAATGACACAGCTTAATATAGCCACAGCTTTAGCAGCTTACTCTGATCTGTTGCAGGAGAAGTTAAAGGTGGTGCTGAGACCCTGCTCCTAAGAGGTCCTGGCTGTACTAGCTCTATTCACTAATAATATAGAGGCAATCATGTACCTTCCCTGACATGCAATATGGTCACTGTTCCCCCTTGCTTTCTTCTGTACACAGCAGGATCCATGCCATCTTCCATTCCTTGAGGAATGACAATACAGGAGAGCCTAGATCTGCATACGCTCCCACCAAGTAACAGACCTCTCACAAATTGGCCTTTTTCTGTCCAACCTGTGGTCCCTTATCTGAATTCTAACGTGGTAGCACCGGTCACATTCAGTCCCAATCAGCAGACTGACATCTGTTCCAAGCACTGGAACTTTTCCAAGGAGGCAGGATGGGGGTGGTTTCCTTACCCCGCCTCTGTCTGCAGCAAACTGAAGTTTAACCATCCACATATTCCAAATGCGTGGCATCCTCACAGGCAAAGACTGTTTGAGAGGTGATCTCCCCCTTGTATGCAACCTACAGTCATGTCATTCCCTACTCCTGGCACAGGGGCAGCTAGATCCCCAGAAGTGGGACATTAGAAGCCACCCATTAGAGCAGAGAACCACTGGAACCATAAGATGACCAAGGTGAGGACAGCATCTTGGCTGCCTCCCCTTTAGAGCCGTGGCTCGGGCAGCAGCACACTGGAAGAGCTGGAAGCACCCTGGTGGTGCCGGTGGCAGGAGGAGAGCATCCAAGGAGAGTCTGGATGGTTGTACTGCAAAACAGGGAGGGAAGGAGGGAGCAGCCTTCTGCACAGTCATCTTCTGCCTTTAACAGCCTACATGGTGGGTTACAGGCACCTACGGAACGTGTATTACCTGAGTCAGCACCCAGGTTTTAGCGGGGCACAGTTGGTGGCTCTGGGTTTTGGTTTTAAACAAGCAATCATGCTGGCTCTTTTGTCACAGCTGCCAAATAGAAGTCCAAAAGGCAAAGGCCTTCTGACAGACTGGGATGTTTGTCAGCGCTGGGATGCACCGCTTACTCAACCACTCTCTGGTTGCAAGGGGCTAATTACCAGGCATTACTCCCAAAGTCTACACTGGGACAAAGTTTTCCATTTACAGGTGGGTTACCTTTGGAATACAGATAACAGATGACATGTAGAGTATGTGAGAAGGAGCTGATCGCCACAGCTCCACAGCACAAGATCTGTCAGTAACACACTGTCTGGCACCAGATCATTCTGGCTACAAGCTAAGAGAGTCCCCTGACCCCCCCACAGCATCGGTGTGAAGGTGTGAGAGGCTCTGGTCTCTCGTGGGCAGGATTGTCCCATCCAGCCTGCCTCAGGATTTCAACATAAACCCACTGGTTCTTCCTCAGGCTCACCCAACCCCAGCCATCACTCCTTCAGCGTGATGAGGATCTCATACAACCCACCCCAACTGGAGGGA